TATAGTTTATTCTAAATAACACATTTTCTTATCGGGAAATTTTAATGAATACCATGTTACTGACAATATATAGGGTTAGATAATGTTGACAGTTAATGCAATTTAATGTATATATATCGCTTGTGCTAATTTGGTAGTTATATTTAGCAATTATCCTGTTATATACCTTATCACTTTCTCACAAAAGGTTTTTGAAATATTTATATATGTATATGTATTAAACATACTTTATACACTATTTTAGTAACAATATTTAGTTACCATAATAACTACTGTCAGTATTCAGGGGGTAGATTATAATAATATTGGTTATCTTTTTTTAATTTTTATGTCAAAAGTATTGTTATCAGTCATTCCAATAGATTCTTTGATCGATTTTAAGGATTCTAGTTTTATGTGACAATAAAGCCACTTTAAAATAAGGTTAAATTATTTGAATAGTATCCTATAATTCAATAGACAGCTAAGCCATTTATTTTAGGTTAATTAGATGAAACTTTAAATGGTTGGAAAAGGGTAAGAAGTATGTTAAATGTGCTTTCCTGAACTTCGCTTCTGCTTTTGATTCTATTCCAAGACACCTCTTACTTAACAAGCTGATCAGTGTCGACACTGACACCTGGATAACCAATTGGCTATGTTCCTACCTTTCTGGAAGAGAACAGTACACTGTATTTGAAGGAAAGTGTTCAACATCTCTACTGTCTACTATAGGTGTGCCACAAGGAGCTGTTCTTTCACCTCTCCTTTCCTCTCTTTTTTTCTGCACGATCTGCCATCTTCCACAGAAAACACTTTTGTAAAATATACGGACGACCTCACTGTATGTATGCCGATTTTTACCTCCTTACATCCTATAGAAATGAATGAGTTTTATCTCGTATTGAAAGGTGGTCTGTTGGTAATGGTCTCTTACTCAATCCATTTAAATGTCAGGCTGTTAACTTTAGCTTGAGACATAGTTACCATAATAACTACTGTCAGTATTCAGGGGGTAGATTATAATAATATTGGTTATCTTTTTTTAATTTTTATGTCAAAAGTATTGTTATCAGTCATTCCAATAGATTCTTTGATCGATTTTAAGGATTCTAGTTTTATGTGACAATAAAGCCACTTTAAAATAAGGTTAAATTATTTGAATAGTATCCTATAATTCAATAGACAGCTAAGCCATTTATTTTAGGTTAATTAGATGAAACTTTAAATGGTTGGAAAAGGGTAAGAAGTATGTTAAATGTGCTTTCCTGAACTTCGCTTCTGCTTTTGATTCTATTCCAAGACACCTCTTACTTAACAAGCTGATCAGTGTCGACACTGACACCTGGATAACCAATTGGCTATGTTCCTACCTTTCTGGAAGAGAACAGTACACTGTATTTGAAGGAAAGTGTTCAACATCTCTACTGTCTACTATAGGTGTGCCACAAGGAGCTGTTCTTTCACCTCTCCTTTCCTCTCTTTTTTTCTGCACGATCTGCCATCTTCCACAGAAAACACTTTTGTAAAATATACGGACGACCTCACTGTATGTATGCCGATTTTTACCTCCTTACATCCTATAGAAATGAATGAGTTTTATCTCGTATTGAAAGGTGGTCTGTTGGTAATGGTCTCTTACTCAATCCATTTAAATGTCAGGCTGTTAACTTTAGCTTGAGACATAGTTACCATAATAACTACTGTCAGTATTCAGGGGGTAGATTATAATAATATTGGGTATCTTTTTTTAATTTTTATGTCAAAAGTATTGTTATCAGTCATTCCAATAGATTCTTTGATCGATTTTAAGGATTCTAGTTTTATGTGACAATAAAGCCACTTTAAAATAAGGTTAAATTATTTGAATAGTATCCTATAATTCAATAGACAGCTAAGCCATTTATTTTAGGTTAATTAGATGAAACTTTAAATGGTTGGAAAAGGGTAAGAAGTATGTTAAATGTGCTTTCCTGAACTTCGCTTCTGCTTTTGATTCTATTCCAAGACACCTCTTACTTAACAAGCTGATCAGTGTCGACACTGACACCTGGATAACCAATTGGCTATGTTCCTACCTTTCTGGAAGAGAACAGTACACTGTATTTGAAGGAAAGTGTTCAACATCTCTACTGTCTACTATAGGTGTGCCACAAGGAGCTGTTCTTTCACCTCTCCTTTCCTCTCTTTTTTTCTGCACGATCTGCCATCTTCCACAGAAAACACTTTTGTAAAATATACGGACGACCTCACTGTATGTATGCCGATTTTTACCTCCTTACATCCTATAGAAATGAATGAGTTTTATCTCGTATTGAAAGGTGGTCTGTTGGTAATGGTCTCTTACTCAATCCATTTAAATGTCAGGCTGTTAACTTTAGCTTGAGACATAGTTACCATAATAACTACTGTCAGTATTCAGGGGGTAGATTATAATAATATTGGGTATCTTTTTTTAATTTTTATGTCAAAAGTATTGTTATCAGTCATTCCAATAGATTCTTTGATCGATTTTAAGGATTCTAGTTTTATGTGACAATAAAGCCACTTTAAAATAAGGTTAAATTATTTGAATAGTATCCTATAATTCAATAGACAGCTAAGCCATTTATTTTAGGTTAATTAGATGAAACTTTAAATGGTTGGAAAAGGGTAAGAAGTATGTTAAATGTGCTTTCCTGAACTTCGCTTCTGCTTTTGATTCTATTCCAAGACACCTATTACTTAACAAGCTGATCAGCGTCGACACTGACACCTGGATAACCAATTGGCTATGTTCCTACCTTTCTGGAAGAGAACAGTACACTGTATTTGAAGGAAAGTGTTCAACATCTCTACTGTCTACTATAGGTGTGCCACAAGGAGCTGTTCTTTCACCTCTCCTTTCCTCTCTTTTTTTCTGCATGACCTGCCATCTTCCACAGAAAACACTTTTGTAAAATATACGGATGACCTCACTGTATGTATGCCAATTTCTACCTCCTTACATCCCATAGAAATGAATGAGTTTTATCTCGTATTGAAAGGTGGTCTGTTGGTAATGGTCTCTTACTCAATCCATCTAAATGTCAGGCTGTTAACTTTAGCTTGAGACATGGACAGAACCTATACTCTATTTTGCGATCCCATAATGTTTGTGCCATTGGAGACTCCTTGATAAACACAGTGTCGAAGGTCAATTATCTTGGTGTCATTTTTTCCTCTGATCTTTCTTGGTCTTCTCATGTTTTACTGTTATCGAAAAAAGTTTACCGTTTGACATACTATATAAAGAGGCTGCATGCTTTTGGGATTACTCGCCATTTACTCTTACAATTTGTAAATTCCTGCATATTACTTATTATTCTATATTGTTTCCCATTATTCTTTCCCGGGCTTTTGAGAAAAGACTTTGCTGTTTTGCGTAGAGTGCTGAAGGCAGTTTGTAAAGCATGTGGTGAATCTTTTGAAGTCATTATTAATATGCTTGTGGATAGACATCTTAAGTCTTTCAAACTCTTGGCAGGTGTTATCTTATCAGATACTAACCATCCGCTTCATTCATATCTTTCTCCTTGTATATCTTCCGGTAGAACGAGACGTAAATACATTAAAATCCATGCACGCAAGCAAATCTATAAAAGTTCTGTAATACCTTACCTAACAAATTTACTTTGTGACGAACAGGCTGTTAGAGTTGACCTAGTAAATAACCTGTCTTCTTAAGCATGTCTCAAATTCGATAATTTGTATAAATTGTTTTTCTTAAAACGTTATTTTATTCCTTTTCTTTTTTTTTTGTTTTTTGTTAAAAAAATTTGTTGAAATAACTCATGCTGAGAATTCTATATTGTACCAGATTATAATATTGAATAAAGTCATTAATAATAATAATAATAATCAATAAGAAGGATTTAAAAGAAGGTATACTTACTTACTTACTCTAGTTACCCTTCATGGAGGAACATAGGCCAACCATCACCATTCTTCATTCAACTCTTTCTTTAACAATTTTTTCTAGTTGTTTCCAGTTTTCGACTCAGTGTACTTTTTGGTCTTCCACTTTTCCTTTTCACCTCAAGTTGCCTCGTGATGTAGTTTGATGATTTCCTCAATATATGTCTTATCCCCTCTCATCGTCTTTCCCTAATTTCCTCTTCAGGTCGAAGATAGTTTGTTATCTCCCACAGTAGACTGTTGCTGATTATATCTAATCAACGGACATTGAATAGCTTGTGTAGACAATTGTTTATAAATACTTTTACATGATGATTGTAGTAGCTCTGCAAGTTTTAGCTCTGTACATTAGAATTATCTTGATGTTTGTATTGAAGATTCTCATTTTGATACTAGTTGATAGTTGTTTTGAGTTCCATATGTTCTTCAACTGTAGGAATGCTGTCCTTGCTTTGCCAATCATTGCTTTTGCTGAAATAAGGTATAGTAATAAAATTTTCCAAGTATTTAACAATGAAAACATAACATCATTTGAGTAAATAATACTGACAAGTTGTAGAACTTCAAATAGCATGAATTTAGATCAACCACAATTCATGTTACTGTCGATTATTCATCTTTAACCTTTTTCTCCACTCTTATTTGGCACTGGTAAGTAGTTTGTAAAATTGAACCATCCAACTCTCTATTAGTTGTTTGAAGCAGTCTCGTTATTTAAATGGCTTATAATTTTTATAACAGATGATTTACGACATAAATAGATCAATGTTAGCGTATTTAACTAAAGCATACTTGAAACTCCAAGAGAGCAACATCATTCTAGACGTTAAATACCCTTTGTTGAAGTTATATTCCCAGATACAAGTAATGATGATGTTGTTTAAAATGAAACTTTTTGGAGGTAAATCATTCATATTAGTAAGCATAACACAACCAACGGCATTTATTTAATCTACTCGAAACTTGAAATGTAGTTTGGTTAAATAGTCAGTTTTTCATCAACTGGACTTTTGTTTATCAGCTATAAAGTTGAAATAATACCTGATTCAAAATATTTTTTCTTAAATTGCATTTTCATACTGTAGGCCACCATTCACGAATGAAAAACTGTTGGATTCTGTACGATCTAAAAATTTTAACAACACTAATATTAGTAATAAAGTGGAGTGTTCTTCTCCAGATGCTAATATGGTTGCAGCCGTCGCATTCAATGCTGTCCGTAGATGGTTTACTAATTCATCAACATTAACTAATTCAGATAATACAATGAAATCAGTATGGAACGAAAACATGAGAACAGGAAATTCCGGTACAAATTCAATTGGTTTCATGAATCAATCGAATATATTACCTTATGCATCATTGAATTCTCGTTTACAACATCCATTGTTACCTCCACCCTTAGTTTTGAACTCAACTGTTGGTAATACAACCACACAAAATTCAACACATAATAATTATGGAATGTTTATGCATCGTGGACATCATAGTAGTGGATACGTTCCGAATCATACAGCACCGATGTTACGTGGGGGTAAGAAACGGTCTCATTCTCAATCATCTGTAAATGAATTATTTGATATATCAAGTTTAACAAGAAGTTCTCAAGGTTCATTGAATATCATGCAATCTATACGTGGTTCACACAGCATGGGACCAAGCGCGGAAGGTTCATATGGCCATTTATCTGCTGGTAAGTTACTATAATAGTACTATTACATAACATTGGAACACCAAATAGCTGAATTCGACATAATTTTTGACATGTATAAGATGCAGTACACCTAATAAGTTGAGAATTAGATAGTCGATTATATATATATATATATAATACCTTTGCCTTACTTCACTTCTCCTCTCTTAGCCTTTTTCTTCTTCAGCCTTTGTCTCGATTTGATTTGACTATAAGTCCTCCTCTTTATTTGCTCACGCGAACACATTAGCCTCTCTTCTCCAATTCTCTCAATATGCTTGCAACTTTGTTATCTTTGCTATCCGCTAATAAACTGTAGTCACCGCTTCGTATTGCCTTCTGAATTCATACACCGTTGGGATTAATTTAATAATGGTTATCAAGGTTATTGATAAACGAAGCCTAAGGAATTATCTCGAAGCCAAGCCACAACAAGTTCAAGAAGTTGCCTTCAATAATGTCTTGAAAGTATTTAATACTGAAACTTGTACATTTGTTTCAACTCGTTTTTACTGATTAGCTAAACATGATTTCATACTACGAAGTGTTGTTTATATTTTTTACAATAATTTAAAGTTGCGAAAATTACACTCGATCTGCAGGAACTGGACATCATTGGTTGTGTCTTTTAAAACTATTCCTTGGTTCTTTTCAAGTTGTACGAAGATTATTAGCACATTTTTATTTTAAGTATGTAAATTTGAATAAGAATAATATTCAATAATCACTTAAGGCGGTTACTATTATTCATGTATCTAAAGGTTCAATCCGTACGTCTATGCTTTAGTTAGTTAATTTTGTATACTGTTCTCCTCTAAAATCACTTCAATCTCTTCCTAGATTCCTAATATAATAATTAAAATTGGTCTCAGAGAAAAAATTATTTTCTTTATTTCGTTTTCATCGCTAAAGCTTCACTTGGTGCAAGTCCTGGAGCTTCATGTGATATTCGTCGTACACTAAGCAGTAATGGCAACTCTTCACATACTGCTCCACCAGCTCCATTTAGTGAGAGATCACCATTCTGGTCACCTAATTCACCACATTCATCAGGTAGTGGGTTTGATAATTATCAAACATCTTCACATAAATCTTTACCGTTACCGTCAACTTTACAAACATATCAGCAGCATTCCGGATATACATCTACAAGTGGTAGTAGTGGTAATCGTTCAACTGGTTGTTTAAATCGTGCACCTTTTGGACATCTTGCGGTTTTATCTTCATCAAATTCATTAAATAAACAAATACAACAACAATCGGATTCTAATTCTGTGTTCAATTGTTCAATAGATGTTCCGAAAAAGCTGACAACTAATTCCTGTAATATGATATTACCATCATGTAGAACATTGGGATTGTCTACTAACAGTGTTACAGCATCTTCATCAGAAATAACAAAAAATTGTACTAGTAATGTTTTACAGTCGGCAATGGCCTTCGCTGCAGTTGCGGTTGCAGCTGCGGCAGCCTCTTCTACAACCTCTAGCATAACAGAGAGAGAAAGTTCATCTTTATTGAATAAACATGTATTAGAGAATACTTTACATCGTGAATGTAGAGATCATGGTTTGCATCAACACCCATCAAGTGAATGTGAGTCCTGTTCATCAACACTTACCATGGGTAATAACAATAATAAACTGAATGAATCAATCAATTCTGTGTATAATAATTTAGTTCCTTCATGCTTTATGAAACCACCTTCCTCTGCTACCATTAAAAGTTCAGCTACTACTACTGACAATAATAACAGTAATACTAATATTCTTTCAAACGATCTCTCAACAGACAATCGAAATAAATCTTTAAATAAGTTACCGTGTTATAATAACGATGCTGATGCTAACGATACTTGCATGGATGCAACTAATAATGAAAATATCCAACAAGGAGTATTCAGAAAAACAATACCCTCTACTCCTTCACATTTCCAATTTTCTTCTAAAACTTACAATCAATTAACTCAAAACAATTCAAGTAATAAACCTATTACCGCTGTGAATAATGGCAACGACGTCAATAATGTTGGTAATATGTCTTCATCATTTACAAATCCTTTACATTGGCCATTTGAGTCAATACCGACACCTGACTGGTCACATACATGGTTTAACAACAATAATACCAATAGTACTATAAGATGTCAACTCAATCCAAATGAAACAATTCGAAGAAATGGACGAGTAAAAATTGGACAAATTGATCTAAATTCAACAGTATTATCTAAAAGTGAAATGTCTGAATTATTAATTAATGAAAACAGTAATAATAATCATCATCATTTATTTGGTAAAGGAAATAATCTTTTATGTCCAACATTAACAAAAGATTTATTGAAACAACATTGTGCATTAAATAACTCTGATATTAATAGCATTACCAATAGTTCACTAAATCAACAATCTTCTCAAAGAAAGCAAATTGATGGCACATTGAATCAAATGCGTGGTATTAAAAATTTTGGTCGTACTTGTCGTATAACACCAGTATTAGAGGCAATAACGCCAGGGATAACCACATCAATTTCAGAGACATCAGCAGTTGCATCATCATCATCAACAACAGCGGCAACACCGACTACCACAGGATTGTTTAAACAAAAATCAATTGAACATTCACATAAATGGCAAAATCAAAATGTATTTAGTAGTCGTAGGAATTCAACACGTGATCCTAGTAACAATAATAATAGTGGTGTTGGACGTTGTTCAGTTGATGAACCAGATGTAGATGATGATGAAGAACTAGATGATGATGGAAGGGTACCACAAGAAGGTGATCCAGATTTTGTTGAAACAACATGTCGATGGGGTGATTGTACATTACAGTTTGATGATCAAGATGAATTAGTGAAAGTAAGTTGTATTTTTATTATTTTTAATTAATAGAAGTTTTCATTGTGAAACAATATTGTTTTTAGTTGAATCTTCATCAGACTTTGACACACAGTAGTAGTATATATGTGTGTATAAGAGAAATATAAGAAAAATCACAGTAGTATACGAGTCAGTTATAACATTAAAATAGATAACATAGCCAAACATAATGAGTAAAACGTACAAGTTTGCAGTAAAATAATAGATGAACTACTGATGATCAGAATATTAGAAGCTTAAGTCAATATTTAAACATAGGAAGTATATGGAAACTTAAATATGTAAATATCGTTTCCGAACGGAGTTCACTTCCGTCTCCTACATATAACAGAATCTACAGACTTGAATCAACAACCCTAGACTATGTGTCTAGAAGAAAGTTTTAGCCTCTTTAGCAGTTCCTTAGATGGGTTAAGTATAAAAAGAGATTTTACTTGTTATTATTATTGTTATTGTCATTATTATTTTCCATGTTCTTTACCCGTTTATCTCCTTCACTCTCTTCCGTATGTGTTGTTCAATATCAAAGTATTTCAGTACTTGTTATTTATAATCCTAATAAATTTTAATGACTATTATTCTAATGTCTATCTTTTCAAGTTTTGACCAATATCTTATGTTGAAACATTGATCCGAGCTTTATCGTCTTCTATAATCTGGCTTTGAACAAGTGTTCATCTTAATTTATTGAAATAGTTATTCTAAGATGTGTAATAATCTGTTACAAGGAGTATCTTATTTAGGTAGCTCTTTCACTCACTATCTTTCGTATTATGGTATCTTTTCGAAGCGCTTGAAAGAGGTAAGTGGATTTTTTGTGATTGATAAGCTCATAGTAAATTTGAGCAAAGATAATCAAAAACTGTCTTTTTAGAAGCATGACAATCATTTTAGTCCCAATAAAAATTCAAGACAGCTAAATTAAATCAATACATGAAGGTAATATCGGCTGTTCAGTTAACATAATTATTTGATTTATAAAAGCCGATCAAATGTAAATGAATAAACACAAGTTGTAAAATTTTTAAACAGTCTGTATTTTTCACTATTTTCTAACTTCTTTTAGTTCATGATCATATCTTGTAGTCTAATTATTTGTTTTTATGTCATATCATTATTATGCAAACTCTTTGGTGGTCATATTGTGATCTACTTAGTTAACTTGGTCACAAGACAATTTTATTTCAACCTATATTCCTAATGTACAAATGTTTCGGTGAAGCAGACAGATTCCTAAAGCGTCTGATTGCCCCAAAGTATCGGTATGGATAATCATTCCTGTCCAACTTAGTAAACCATGGAATCTTATGATATAATTTGGAGATAAAACTAACAGTATATACTCTTTTAAACCAGATCAATAGGAAATTTTTTGCAATTCTCAAACGGTATCCGGTTCTATATGCGATGATTAACGAAGTAAAATATCTGATTTCAAATAATGAACTTATAAAATATAATTTTCAGCCTCTGATAATTTTCGTGTAACCAAAACCATCGATTACTTGAATAATTTTTTATAATAAGTTATACTACTTTTCAGTAGGTAAAGTATATACTTAAAATTTATTATTGACAATATGAATTTCTAAATTTTTTTCCATTCTGTTATAGCATCTTAGTACTGAACATATTGCAGGAAATAAGAAAAGTTTCGTTTGTTTGTGGCGAGAATGTGTTCGTGGAACCAGGCCATTCAAGGCTCAGTACATGCTTGTTGTACATATGCGAAGACATACAGGCGAAAAACCACATAAATGTATAGTGAGTATCAAAAGATTTTTGTTCTAGTCTATTCCCCTACATATAGTTTTCAACTGTTTCGCTGGTTTATATATGATTAAAAGTATCACAAAGTTGTCAAATACGCATGCAACCGTTCGTGTAAATCACTGAAATGTATCTCTTTTTTCGTACTTAGACTTCATGATTGATTTAATTCTGTTGATCAAATGAATTGACTCCGTCTCGAAATGCAGTGGGATTTATGCTTACCGGAGAGAAGCATTTGTAAATGGTGGGATCAAAGCAAGGTTTCTTTTTTGTTGACATACATCATAAAGGCATATCTGAAATTTTGTGGAAATATCTGCTGGCTTTGAGGTTTATCTTCAATTTAAATTGTTTCACGAGTATTAAGTATTCGTTGTTGACTTTCTAGTAAACGATCGATATCAACCCTAACAATATTAGTGAAATATATCTTCCACTTAACTTCGTGTATATTTTTCCGACTTAAGACGTTTTAAAAGTAGGATATCATCAGAAGTTAAATACGAGAATGATTTTAGATATAAATATTTCGGTCATCCATTAATAAGGACATGATGAGAGAGACGAGTCGGAGAAGGCGAACGCCCTTATTCAGTGAGCATTGAATGAGCCATTCTCCACATTGGATCGATGATGTATAGATCGCTGATATCCAATACGATGATAGAAAAACATAAAGCAACCGTGAGTAAAAGTGCACATGATACAGTTGATAAGATCTTAGATAACAAAGTACATTGAACAGTCATCATGAAAATGATCAAGTTGGAACGACATAATTAATGGTCAGACAAAAGTAGACTACCTAAGAGGGCAATAAGAACTACCACAAATAGAATAATTATGCAAAATTACAAAAACTTTCTTTTGGTACCTTCCTCCAATTCCGGACACAGTGTCTCCTTTGGTATGCTCCTTTTCCTCTTCCTTTGAAGATTAATAGTCAAGAATTGCCTAGTGATCCAGTTTGACAATTTACACAGTGTGTAGCCTATCTACCTCCAGAGATTTCTCTTGATTTTCTTTTTAGCTGGAAGTTCGTTAATTCTCTACCACAATACGTTATTTCTAATGGTGCCTGGTCAAAGGATCTAAAGTTTCTTGAGTAGACAACTGTTTATAAATACTTGCATTGTTTTTATGATGGTTGTAGTAGTTCTCTAAGTCTCATCTCAGAACAATAGAACTGTCTTGATGTTTTTCCTTGAAACTATGACTTTGATGTTGGCTGACAGTTGTAACAGGTCTCAGATTTTCATCATTTTCAGGAATGCTGTCTTTGCTATACCAATCCGTGCTTTTACATCTGCATCAGATCCCTCTTATTTATCAATGATGCCGCCCAGATACGTAAAGGTTTTCGCCTCTTCAAGAGCTCATCCATTAAGTGTGATTTGGTTGGTAATGAAGCCAACAACATTTTTTCTCTTCATAGTTTACATCATGAACTGACCAAAGAGCGATAACTATTTAAAACCAGGAAGTATTGACTAGTGATGTAAACTATGGAACTCAACAATCTCTACAAACCTTCACACTAGTTACATTTCTTGCAATCATAGATAACATTGTCTTTCAGTCCTATGGTTTATGATACCGGTATATAATCAATGTCATTTTTATCAATATTTCAACTAAATAATTCTCGATAATATTGATCGACTTTATTTCATTTTTAGTTTGAAGGTTGTATAAAGCGTTATTCACGTTTGGAAAATTTAAAAACTCATCTTCGATCACATACTGGAGAAAAACCTTATCAATGTGAAATTCCTGGTTGTAATAAAGCATTTAGTAATGCATCCGACAGAGCTAAACATCAGAATAGAACTCACAGTAATGAAAAACCTTATACATGTAAAGTTGACGGTTGTTCCAAACGATACACAGATCCTAGTTCTCTACGAAAACATGTAAAAACTGTTCATGGTGCTGAAGTAAGTTATATATGATCAAAATGATATCAATTAATATAAGCATTATAAATTATTATTTCGATTGTGTATGCTACCATTTTAATTTTGGTGTATGATTGAAATATCGTTAAAAAAAACATATAAAATGGATTGTTTTACATTTTTAACACCAGAACAAGGATAGATCTTGAGTTTTATTATTTAACTGAATTTACTTTTTGCAAATAACTTAGAGAAACAAAACCTTTTTTATAATACATACATACCACTACAGAATCTAATGAGTATAAAACGATTGAGTAGTTATGTTAAAATCCGACGGTCCACATTTTCAGTTTTAGTTCACTTTTAGTAGACTGAAGTGATTATCGAAAAAAAAGAAACATGCATTGATCTGTATACGGTGAGAAATAGTACATTATGTGGAAAGTTATTAGCATATATCTGAAGGGGGGATGTGTGGAGATTTTAGTAATTTTATATAGTTGAAATCATGAGTCAATGGAAGCTAGACCACCATGGAAAACCTGGAAGCACTGAACGGCCGTTCCGTCCCAACTAGTGCTTTGTTCACCACATATGGTGTCTCTGCCAACCAGGAGGAGGAAGGGTGCTGTTCTGCGGACGCCACTGCGGGCTTGCAGTCGAGGTACTGTTTGGGGCAGTCTGGTGCGGAGAGGTGACGTCGAGTGGAGTGTTCTGGCGGGGTGGCTTTGGCTGTAGCAGGTGCTGTCGACGGAGAGGAGCGGTGAGACGTGAGGCCGCTAGGCGTAAATGGGATTTAGATGGCTCAGCAGGCCGATGGAGTGCGGGTGTTGAACGTCCCAGATGCCGTGTGGATGTCGGATGTTGGTCCCCGGCAGGTCGACGGAGCTATGGAGGTCAGCGGGCCTCAGACTCGAGATTTTGGAGGAGAGCTTGGCACAGACTGCAGTACAAGAAGAAGGTACGCACGGCGAGCAGAACCACCGCATGAACGAATGCTTTAAAGGGAGGATGAGTGTAGTGTGGTGTACTTATATCCATATAAGTAGTATATGGTGATGGTCAGACATAGAATGTATTTTAGCAGAAGACTGATAAGGAAAGAACTGAAATGAAGCACAAATGGTAGGAAAATGCATGAACAATAGAATTAAAGAAGACGGACTGATATTTGCAGAAACAACAGTGAAGATTGAGACAATTGGTTGTTATTTTGCAAATTAACTGTTTGCTGTATGGTTATCAGAATTTAGTGAAATAGTCTGTAGTTTCGTTGTTCCCAGCTGTGTTCTTGTTCATTGCATAGCTTCAAATGACTCATGATTTTCATTAACATATATCTATTAAAGAACAATAATAATATTGTATTTATCACTGTAGAGCCTGATGAAAACGTTATAGAGAATGACCATTCATTCTAATAGGCTTTATCTAGAAGCCTCCAGAAAAAGAATAGTTTCGGTGTTAATATGTTAATGAAAGTAAGTGGAATCAAATAATGACAATCAAGTGAGCGATACAATCCAACAAAAATTCACTTTTGGATTGTAAAAATAAATTTAACCATGTTGATATGATAATGAAGTAAATCCTTTAAAATTAAATCCAGTTAAGACTGTAAATTATTCCAAATATTAGTCTTAAGATTGCAATTCGTAGGTACAAATTAAAATTTTTGTTTTTTTCTTTTGATAGGTTTATGCAAATAAAAAGCATAAAGGTGAAAGTTGGAGTGATCGACCTTGTGGTGGGTCTGGATTTAGTGGAGGGCATCTATTTGGCAATAGTAATAATAACAATAGTTATCCTTCTCAAGATAAACGATCCAATGGTTCAATGCCTGGTATACGTGGAAGATTTGGTCCACGCGGAATGAATGATAACGGCAATATATTTCATCGTGGAACCTATACGGATAGAGAGCAACGCCCTTCTTCATCATCAAATCCAAGAGATAGTTGTTTAGCTTGTCTTAGCAATCCAGTTCATACAACTACAATACATCCTGTAGACATCAATGCCGAAAGCATTATCACAGAATACCCTAATCAAGATTTATCGAAGTTGAAAAGATTCAGTATAGAAGAGTCTGGTAGAAATACTTCACATAATATGAATTGGTATCTACCTGAAACTGATAATCAAAATGTACACTCTAGTGTTTTAATGATGACATCGTCACCGGCAGTATACAATACAAGAAATGATTATTTTCCTAGTTTCAAATGTGAACATTCCATTTATCCAAATTATTTTAGTTTTGCACGAAATATGATTCATACTGAAGACACAAATCAAAATCATAATAACAACAATAATTTAGTTTTCTCTTGGACATCACCAACAACACCATCACCATGTGATAACTTATATTTAGATCAAAAAATTAATCCATCTATCACATTACAACCTTTATCGACCACATCAAATCCCGTTCAATCGTTGTCACCATCAATAGACAATCCAATTAACTCAACAGGTACGAAACAGAAAAATCTTTTTTCACCTGTCAACGAATCAGTAGCTATGATGAGAAACGAGAATTGTGATCAATCAAAATCAGTATGTGTTTATGGAACATCAGATGATTTGGTAAAAGATTTCAAAAAATCCTTGAAAACTGAAGAAAATAATTTGATATGGAATTGGAAATATTCACAACCGTCAATTGATGAAATGAATAAAGATCATTGTAATAAAAAGCATTCCATTTTATGCTTTGATGATCAAGATATGAAAAAGGTATGTTTACTTTCTGCCAAACCAGTATTTCTTGCCATAAATGTAAAAAAAAGTTGACCAATAACTTGAGTGGATTCAGTATGAATTTTGGTTTTCTATTTGTGATTAAAAAAAGTGATGTTTATACTCTTCATTTATTATTTCAAGAGATTATTATAAAACTGATTACTACCTAGTCACGCATGAATTATGCAATTCCAAAGCATAACTGATCCATTGCAATATAGAGACATCTAACTGGTAAATGCATTAGCTAAGGTGTTACTAAAGAAACCTATCAGTTTCGTTCATTGTGATTTTATAACAATGCAAAGAGAAAATATATGTTTGAAGAGGTGGACATGGAAATGAACAGTTAGAATAGATAGGATAAAGTAGAAGTTTATTTATGAGTTATGTGACTTCAAGTAGACGATAACTATCGCATACATTATTGTTTTCGTTAAAATGTATATTCCTTCAGGTATATAAAAAGAAATTATCATGGTATTATGATTCCCCTTAGACTTATCTACTAAGTAAACTTAAATTAAGTTGGCAGTTTTCAAAGTTATTTTAAAGTCAGTCAACTAAAAGCTCCTGCATATGGTTGTAATTAATAAGAAGAGGTTTTGTTTAATCTGGACTAAATTGATGTTCGCATAGAAATCTGAACTCATGAATACATGTTTTGGTAAAAGTGAATTCACAAAATAATTAGTAAACAGGGGGGGGGGCAGTTTATTTAGCTAAACAATTTACAATGTGCTAATTTTAAAATGATGATCACCGCGAATATCAGTAAGCTAAAAAAGATTCAGATCCATAGAGAATCGTTTAAATGAACTTTTATCTTGGTGTGTAATTTTGACCAAATATATATAAGATTACTGTGCTTTTCGCTGCAATAGTGATTTCCCTACACAACTATGTAAATTTTATATTCTACATCTCTGAAACTATAATACACTAATGAAATCCCATTGAGAATCAATTTTTATAAATGTTATCCTTTTAAGAGATAAGTTTTATGTACTAACGTTTCTCTTTGCTTATACTTCATTTCTGTTTAAGCCATTACCTGGATATCTATCCACATCATTAGAATCTCAATCAAATACTCAATTTGCTTTGAATCCAAATGATCAAACAGTGAATCAGTTAACTAGATCAATTAATAATGAACATTTCAATGAGATATCAAATATGTCAACTACTATTATTAATGAAACTTATCGTGAAAATAATTTACAATTTAATTTCCCTTTGAAATGGAAAGTTGAAGATCCACTAGCTTATTCAAAAAATATGGATAATAATAGTCAAACAAAAAATAATAATGAATTAAATGAAGAAAATTCTCCTCAATCGAATCAAAATGAATGTATCTCAAATGTACCATTATTGAATAATCATTATATGGAAGATGTTACAGAGCAAAAATCTCAATTATGTGTAATAGAATGTCCAACTCGATTGAGATCAATGCAAGATATCTGTTCATCTAATGGTAATCATCTTTCATCTTAATTATTATTAATATTTATTGGATATACATCATTTGTCTATCATAGTTAAGTGCTCTGGCGTGAGGCTGGTAGGTCCTGGGTTCGAATCTCGCTAGGCGAGGTCGTGGATGCGCACTGACGAGGAGTCCCACAATAAGACGAAACAGCCGTCCAGTGCTTCCAGGTTTTCCCTGATGGTCTAGTTTTAATTGACTCATGCTTTCAACTATGAAAATACTAAATCTCCACAAAAACCCCTTCTGATATCATAGTTTCCACTAAAATTGATTACCTTCTATATTTTCCGATTAGATGAACCGTGAATTAATGTACCTTTCGAGTTAATTGACTTATTTCCTATTATTAACAGGCGGATATTTATATACATATCTTGATAATAAATATTTTAAATGTCCGAAGTGAATAATTACAGTAAACACACCATATACATGTTGACTGATATAAAGCGTATTCGTAGACCAATTATGAATCATATAACTTTAAGATTATTGGGGTTTCTGAACTTAATTAATTAGAATTCTCTTATTCTGACAAAATATTTTAAAAGAAAGCAACCTATTGGGTAGCGTTACAGGAATGGTGTTTGGCGACTTACAGCTGGAGAACATATATGATCTGTTCAATTCATATGCAAATTCAACTACTAAGTCGTTTTTTGAGCGAACAGGGAAATTTCCTGGTAACTCACAAAACATTGAGATCTGTTTATGTAGTCAACAAGTTGGACAAAGTAGCTTTTCTAAATGGATCATACGTTTCAGTGACGCCCATAAGAACTACGAGTATAATGGAAAACAACTACTGAGCTTCTGACTGAATGAAAACAATCCGTATATGAGTTCTCCTATGTTTTTTAATCGCTAATTTAGTGTCCAGATGATTGCTAAAAAACCGAATCCAGAAGAATGATCTGATCTAAATATTTTAGCAAAATAGTCCAGGTCAATAAATTTCTGTACGAAATATTTTAAATGACAAGGGAGTTGAAGAGCCTGACTTCTAAGCTAGTCCAATGGTATTCTAAATAATGGAAACGGATATTGTACAAGTATACTACAAATGGAATATATTTCAAGGGAGTTAAAATTGATATAATCTACATTTTACAAAGTTTCTATAGTCTCAGTTTGAATACATATTGGACAGACTGTGTATAAATGAAAAGTAATAATAATTATTATTATAACTTTCGCTACCATTCGTTATTATAAGCTTTGTTACAGTAAGGAATTGTTAAAGTCATTTGTTCAGTACTGTAATAAACTTCTCTTCAATAAACACTTAAATTGCAATTTTTTCAGAAAGTATATCCTACAAAATGATTTTTCAATGGTCAGTATTGATTACTTCGTTTTACTGGCTAAGATTTGTTATCAGTTTAAGTGCTAAAACAATGTTTTTCACCCATCTGTTACTGAATACATGAAATCCAATAGAATGACCTGCCATTTTTTCAAAGGGTACACAATGGGGAGAATATCCCAACAAGCTAAATGTTTCTGAGATTTATTGTATTTTAACATTGCAACAGGTTGCAAGCCTTTCATAATACTCTTCTTAGTACATTAAGTTAAAATTTATAATTAATCTGTTCCAATGAATCCGAAGCAGGAAAGTTTATCGAAATATTTGTACACTTAGAACATAGATTGACCGAATGTTTTAATAGACTGTGTGAAGTAAACGACATGGCTGTTTTTATGAGCATTGGGTAGATTGTTATAAATAAATGATGTAGTTTAATATTATGCATATAATAGTGTCATTTAGTCCCTGTCTATCAGACAATTGTCACTGAATAAGTTATTAATCTTTACTGATAACCTTGTATTAATGTTATACCATTGATGAATAACTGTGAAAATGAAAGACATATCACTTGACCATACTAGTTGCATACTCAGATTATGTAAAGCTATTTCAAATGAAATCTAATTATTCATCACATTTAAGTTGTTAGACAACCATTTTAATCACTTAAATTAACTAATGTCTTGAATCCTACTGTTAATGGAAACCATTTGAATAATGATATGGTATTTAATTATGATTTTCTAAATTTATTGTAGATATTTGGGATTCAGAGAGTGCGGCTGCATCATCCGGTATTGGATCAGGTGTAACAACTACCACAGCGTCAGATAACAGTAACCCCACCGCCCAGAATCATCATCGCCAACAACAGCAACCGAAACACTCTCATCAACATCAAAACCGAACAAAGTCCATAAATTCAGACAATAACTATTCAAATCAAGATAATGTTAGTACTATGGATAATGATGAAGCATTCTTTAATAATGAGAATATCAAAAGTGACCTTGGCTCTATTGATCGATCCTCTTTATTTGGAACACCAAGAACAGATTCAAATTCAACTGGTTGTTCGTATGAAAGAACATTTAATCCACAAATAAACCATAAAAATGATAACTTAATACATTCTTCATGTACTTGTATACAAAAGCGACAAAAAAGAGACAATTCACAATCTACTTGTTCTTATCACCGACATTATCATGATCAATTAGTAGATGGGAATATATCTTCACAATTAGATTCAGAACAACTTAGTGCAACAAGTTCTCAAGTAAGCAGTGGACTTGGTTCAATGACTTCATCAAATGCTGGTAGTGGTTGTAATTGTACCGGTACAGGATTAAACAATACAAATATAAATGTTTTAGATAATGTCAGTGGTAATGTTAGTAGCAATATCTGTGTTAATACACTACCTAGATTGGTTGAAGGTGACAATTCATGTAAATTAACTAATGATTATCCAAATAATTCACAAGTATTCAATGAAGATGATAATAACATATCAAAAATGTGGAGAAAGTATTATAAATCATATAGTTATTGTTCACCGTGTAACAATCAACCTGAAACATTTTATCCTGAAGTATTCAATTCCGAGACGGAGTGTTATTCAAATACACCAGCAACCGTAATAAATGATCTCTCTTCCACTGTTTCTCCTGTTCCACCTTCTATCTCAACATATCATTACCACCATAATCCTCATCTTCGTCATCAGCATCAGCAACGTCAGTCACAACATAACCTCGACTTAGTTATGTCTAGTTCAAATCATTATAATGATGAAATGCACTTTTCTCCTCACAGTTATGTTCATTCAAGTTCATCTAATTCATCACCATTCAATTCAAATCGTCCACATTCTGTTGAAACATTTTCGCATAATAATTTAACGAACAATAGTTTATTTGACCATAAACGATATACACATACTTCATCATCGACTACAAATAACAGTCATGATAATGAAATGATTAATAGTATAAATCAAATTAATCCAAAGCATCCATACAATATATGTCTTTCATCGATAAATAATAATAATAACCAATGTGATACGAATAGCAATATGATTTTGAAAAGACATTCTATTACTGATGGTCGATGTCATGTAAATGGAACATGGTTTACAAATGAATATAATGGTAATGATAATCATCATTATTGGACACATCCATATAATGTTGATCAATTGTCTATAGGAAATCAAATTCCTAATTGGTTAAATAAATCTGTATTAACATCATCATCATCATCGTCAAGATTGACATCAACATCATTAACAGAAGCCATAAGAACACATAATTCATCAGATAGTTTATGTGTAACGTCAAGATTTAATGATTCAACAAACTATTATCAAGAATATACTAATTGTTGTCAACCAACAATAAATTCATTTCAAATAAACCAATCTTCATTGTCTTCAACTATGTCTACAAAAACTTCGGCAAAATTACAATCTAAACTATCTTGGACAACAGATGATAATTATTCAGAATATCTTAGTTCAAATCATTCACAGAATTCATATATTCAGTCTAATCGATTGGTTAACAATAATAATTCTAGTAATAATGACAATTTAATTGAAATGGATCGTAATAATCGAACAAATATTCAAAGGAATTGTAATTCTGAATTAAACTGTTGTTATACAAACTTTCAGAATAATACTACTCAACTGGAAAATATGAATCATATAAATACTAATCCATTACTTATTTCGTTAGCTTCATCTCAACCGTTTTTGATGAGTTCATTCAATACAACATCAATATCAACAACATCTGAACAAACTTCTTATTCATCTTATCATTTAATCCCAACTTCAAATACAGTTCATCAAATAAGTCAAAGAGGTATTGAACAAATGAATAAAATAAACAATCTACATTCAAATAATCAATTATCCACAATAGCTTCAGTGACAGCTTCTGCAACAACAACATCAACGTCCACAGTCAGTAGTTATCAGAATCTAAAAGAAAGAGAAGTATACAATTTCCCCGTATCAAATCCTCTTCATACATATATTAATCCATTTCATTCATCTAATTCATTGTACAGTTCTTTCTTACAATCAGTTTATGAAGAACCAACATTCACATCATCATCATCGTCATCGTCATCATCATCACCATCTCCATCCTTACTATTATCATCGTCATCATCAACTCATCTCGGTCATTTTAACCGGTTATTTGTAAATGCTGATCCTATTAGTAATAATCTAGTTGTCTGTAATATGTCAACTATGGATACAGATTGTGAACCATTTCATTCATCCAATTAAAAAAAAAGACTGTATAGTTATTTCAATATAAAAGTGTGATAATACAGTATATCAATTATGATCATAATCATTTTTTTGATGTACTAATGAAAACTGGTCAAAAGTAAAACAATCCTTCTATTTCTTATCTGCTTTCTTTCAATTTTACATTTCGCTAATTTATCAATGAACAAGTTTTGTTTATTTTTTTTGCAAACTAGTCATTATAGTTTGTAGCATTTTGTTTATGTTTCATATTCTTCAAAATATCCAAATGAAACTAAACTACACTTCATGATAATTGTATATTAATAAAATTGAAGCCGGTGTAATTTCCACACCTTCATTCATAGTAATTGCATTATTCGTAAAAGGGAAACAAGAGCGCCATTGTTTTTATTTTAAATTTCTAAGTATTATTTATTATGTGTTTTTATCTTTCAAAAATACTTTATTATCCTTTGAAATTTAGCTTATAAAAAGTTGAAGAGAATAAAGCGTATATATTGAACCTGTTCAACATTCAATGTGTTGTTTATTCTGTTTGTTCGTTTTTTTTATATTACTTCTTTTTCACCTATTTGTATATTCGGTCATATTAATTTACATTGACTTTCGAATTTCCTTTTTCTTTTTGTTTCGTAATCTTTTTTTGAAAGGAAAACAATCAAAGGATACATTTGAATGATTATCTATCATTACTGGTTACTTGATTAAATCATTCATTTCCCAGTAATTTTAACTTACTCAAACGTTTACACAGGTAAACTAAAGGTAAACATTGATGAAATAGCAGTTACTATTATACAAAATACTGAATTATAAAAAAAAACAGAATTTTTTTCGGTTATTCAAATAATTTTGTAATTATATTTATGTTTTCATTCTAAGATTAAATTATACAAATTTCTATCGCTGTTTAATAAACGTATGTTGACTAAACTGAAACTAAAATCTCTTTAAAATGTATGCTATTTTAATACATGATCACAAGAATAACAATCCTAAGATATTCATGTTCCATATAGTTCTCTCCTACTATCCTGAAGTTGAATATCAACCATCTTGTTTTTGAAATTCACTTCCATGGATACTGAATACAAATAAAATACGATAATTTCTATTTCAATTTTCGTCATACAAAAGTGAACTATTATGTAAACTGTTGTTGTTGTTGTTCTTTTAATATTTTTTATTTTTATTTCTGTTTTAATAATGCGCCAGTTAGTTTAAGATTGAATCATTTAGTGGTAATTCAGATTTCAATATAAAAACCTTCAGTTTGTTTACTGGGGACTTTTATTATTTTCTTTTTAATTTATACACTGTATCCATTTGAAAAATATTATGTTTTAAATTAAACGCTAAAAGTTACTAGGTTATCATTAGATTCTTGTTCTTTTTTTGTACTACTAAAATCCATTTATATGATGGGCATCGGTAACTGAAATCTGAAAGCAAATAATGTCTGTTATAATATCCTGTATAAATGAGTATACAGTCAGCAAGAAGTTATGTGTTTTTCTAGTGCCTATTTTATCTTGTTTTTTTGTGTGATTCGAACGACATCTAAATATTAATTTATTAAAAATGTAAAGTGATCAGTAGATAGCTATTTTTATATTTCTAGGTAGTTATTTGCTCATTCACAGATTGAACAGTTCGTCTTTTGCATACGAGAACTAGCCTTCAATCTGCATACAAAGTTTTCAAACATTCGACTCTGAAGTTAAACAGAGCAATTAGGTTCTATTGCGTTAGTGAATGTGTTACTTCTAGAAGTCTTAAACGAAAGACTGGACCTTGCTTGTCTCATGAAAAAAACACAAATTATTTTTGATAATTCTGAATATTCTCTAAAGCAACGAGTCGTCTCAAGTAAAAGTCTAGGACTGATTTTAGAAGCGAATGTGTTTTTTTATTTGGTCTTCCCCAACGATCGCTTTCAACAAATATTCGACTGAGTGTCACTGTATGAGCCTCGTCAAATCAGGATATATAATGTTTTTCGTTTGTGCAGTCAGTCTATACTACTATTTCTTCAGAGCCGTGTTCTACAGAAAGAATTGTTGCCAATCTCAAACTGTGGGCATTCCGGGCTTTAGTTTATCAGAATAAATAATAAGTAAAACTAGAAAACACATAGGATGTAACGTATAATTTTTCTGGTTAGAGTATGTGTTCGCACTCACTTTGAGAACACTTCACTGGCTCATTCGAAGTAAAGACTAGTGTCCGACAAGGTTGCTTACTCTCACCCTTTCTCTTTCTCCTGGTGATCGACTGGATCATGGAGATGTCAACATCTGCAGGGAAGCATGGGATGCAGTGGACAGCTAGGATGCAGCTGGAAGATTTAGACTTCTCAGATGATCTGGCTCTTCTATCACCCACACAACAACAAATGCAGAAGACAATCAGTGTAGCAGCAGCCTCAGCAGCAGTAAGTCTCAATATACAAAAGGGAAAAGCAAGACTCTCCGATACAATACAACATGCACCAATCCAATTACACTCGACGGAGAAGCTTTGGAGGATATGGAAACCTTTACATATCTGGGCAGCATCATTGATGAACACGATGGATCAAATGCAGATGTGAGGGCGAGAATCGGTAAAGCAAGAGCAGCATATTTACAATTGAAGAACATCTGAAACTCAAAACAATTGTCAACCAACACCAAGGTTAGAATTTTCAATACAAATGTCAAGACAGTTCTACTTTATGGGGCGAAAACTTCAAGAACTTCGAATTCCATCATCCAGAAGTTACAGGTGTTTATTAACAGTTTTCTACGAAAGTACATCGGATCCGTTGGTCAAGCACTATCAGCAACATTCTACTGCGGAAGAGAACAAACCAGATTGCAGTGGAAAAAGAAATCAGGAAGAAGCGCTGGAAGTGAATAGGACATACATGGAGGAAAGCGCTGAACTGCGTCACAAAGCAAGCCCTCACCTTTAATCCTGAGGGCCAAAGGAAAGGAGGAAGATCAAAGAACACATTACGCTGAGAAATGAACACAGATGTGAGAAGAATGAACAACAACTGGATAGAACTAGAGAGGAGGGCAGAGGACAGTGTGTGTCGGAGAATGCTGGTCGGTAGTCTATAATAATGGCAGATTACATATATTTGTCGAACATTTCGCATTCGGAAATGCTTCTCAAGGGAGAGGAAAATTAATAAACACTCATAAAAAGGATTACAGAAGCAGTAAAAGGATTTAAGAAATAAGTCAGCCGACTAATATCCACTATAACGTTGATACTTGTCTAGAAACAGGAGACTATTGTTCTAATTGTAAATCAGTGAAACAATGGGAAGGCTGCGGCAATAAGGAGAATGCTGTGGACTTTAATTTAGCAGCTGCAAGTGCGCCTAGAGATGATCACTAACAGTAAGTATTTAAGCAGCCACAAGTGTTTTTCAGAATTTTGAGGTACAATATCCTAAAAGGTGAGACTGCTTAATTAGTTTGTGCTGGGTTCTGTGTGATCAGGCCATCGTGAGGAAAAAATAATCGTATGATCTAAGGATGTCACGGCTGTTCAAAGCTGTTGTTCGTAACACATCTGTAATCCATGATCTCAAGGTCAATTAAACCAGAAATAGTCAATGAAGGAGTTTGAAAATATGTTTGGAAGATAGTTGGTATGCAGAAAAGTGCGTGATCCAAACTGCCCAGTTGTTGCGAGGGATGCTTTGCACGGTGTACTCACTTGTGATCTGGTGCGGATGCTTGGCCAAACGCCTCCAGCTAGGGTGCATTCAGTATAACTAATTAGGTCAGTACCTGTCCGTAAGACTTACAGATCCATTTATTTTGAGGATTCACTTGATGCTACAATTCTCTCCCTCTAGTCATTTATCGATCAGTACAGGGAGGATTTAAGTACGAACTGACATATAGACAAATGAACGATAACCAAGACATTAACGGATATTGTTCCTTGAACTCCTTCTGACCAAGAGGGCAATCGGAAGAAGAAGATGAAAAGCAGCCTGAGTTCTTGTTGCACTTAATTTAATTATAACTCTGAATTCATAGGCTAATATACCTGAAGTGTCTAACCACACAGCAACAAAATTAGGAAATTCACTGTATATATTACTTAATGATATGAGACACTAGTAGTAGATGAATAATTAATAAATGGTAAGTTGTGGTGTTTGAATGAACAAATGATTCCCTTGTATTGATGACGGCTTGGTTTTGAATTTCAAATACAGTACATTCGTTTGTGCTCATCTAATACTTCTTGATTAAATTGCGTTATTGCTGGAATTACTAGTTTATACTATAATTTGAATACGCTCAAAGATCACATTGACGGCGCGATGGAGCCTGTGATGGAAAGGTTGGATATACATTCAGATTTTAATGCTTTTGAGGATTACATGGAGAGGTTCAAAATCTTGGCTTTGACCAAGGAAGATGATGAGGATTTTAGTATTGTGACCCATTTGCTTACATTCACCGGAAAAGAAGCATACAGCTTTATAAAGACTTTGGCATTTTCAGACAAGCTGATTTCGCTCTTTTATGCAACTCTCAAAAAACTACTGCTGGACGATGTGAAGTATACAAATTTCGAATGCGGTAAGGGAGAAACGTTCAATGAAATAACTCGCCAGAACATCAGGAATTCCACTACTTTAATACGTCGTCACAGTCGAATATGTAATCAGATAACAGTTTATTAAGTCGTTAAATAGTTAACGGAGATGAGAAGAAGTTTGGTAAATGCTTATGTTGTGGCGAGCTTCATTCTGGCAAATCGTGTGCATTTCGTAATACTAAATGTTTTAAGTGTGGTAAGGTAGGGCACATTCGGTCAGTATGCAAAACTACTGTTCACTTTATATAGGAATAATATATATTTGTAAAATCTCAGCTAATGAATTTGTAGTAAATCCAACGTTTCACCTGGCAATCCGGTCCAAGCTTTTTCAAGGAATTATCTTGAATTCCTTGAATTCCTATTCTGATATACTGTTCACTTTGCTTCAAGTATTA